GAGTTTAATCACTGTCATTACTGAGCTTCTCACTCCACGGATCCCTCCAGGTGAATTGGGCGAGGAATGTATAGGGAAACTGGACGACCTGTCGACGATCGCGAACATCCCCTTCAGAGCGAGCACCATTCTAGTCGGCATCGCTGTCATAATCGCTTTGCTCACGATCTGCGCGATGCTTCTCTTCTTCTTCTGTCAGAGTACAACCGTGTTCTACCTGTGCGCTTGGATGCAAGTTGTTTCAGGTAATCACAGGTGTAATTATTGTCCCCAGTTAGTGGGATTCTAATCACTTTTATTTTCATTTATCATTTATCACGTTGATCGATCGCTATCGTTTTGTCATTATTACTATTATTATTGAAGCTATATCACACGAATGAAAGAACTCCAAGCTTGGGCGCACTTTAGAAGATTCTTTAATCATTTAAAGGAATTCTGGACTTTATTGACTTTAAAGCTCATTCTGACGCTGACTTATTCTATCCCAATAAGAGGTAATCTCAAAAGACGATTAAGATTGCATTTAAGACCCATTCCTTTCCAATTAGAATTCGCATTGAAGGGAAACTCGGTTGCGCCAATCATCTGAGCTGAAAAGGAAGAAAATTTTTAACAAATGGCGAACATCGTTTTAGAAAGTATAACGCAACTAAATGTTCTCTCGCTATTGCCGCAATCATTCGCGTAATACCTTATCGTCGCGTTGTAGCTGAAAATTACGGTGATGCACGGAGGCTACCAGGTCAAAGAATGATGCAATCGCTTCACTTTGCATGCCCCTCTGTTCGCCACTTGAACCTCGTTTGAGGCCAATCTGAATTTTATACAGCCAGGAGAACTCAAACTTTATTCAGATTATTTTGCATTTTTTGCAATCCATTCTTTCTTCATTTGACCTGTAATTAACTAAAGTTCACTGTGATCAATTGATTGAAATTTACATTGAAACTGCTATTAATTAATTGGTGAAAGTGACTTTTGTGAAATGAGCTGTATTGTTATTTACATTTATTTTCCGCAATGTGAGAAATGCCATTGAAACGATGAATTTCTGATTAAAATAATTAGTAAATAAGACTGGGGTCAATTTATGCTAAATATTGTGGCAGTGTCTATTACATAAATGGGTCAGATATTCTCAATTGTACTGGCAATTGAGTAGAGGAGGCAGACAACCGGATTGGATCTCCCTCTTGATAAATAAGCCTCGTGACTGGTTAACAGAATATTACCTGTATATTAAAATGATCATGAACACGGATTATTACGGATCTTACTTGCAGTGAAAATCCTTCTCATAGTGAATTGTGTTTTTCTGCAAAGTAGAAAGCGCTTCCTGTCCGCAAGACCGCATTTGCGAAACACGTAACACAATAATGCTACAATGCAGCGTCGGTGATGCATAAACGATGATTATTTATCTCTCATTGATAAATGAAGAATCTATTTTTGAGAATGAGTTATTAACAGTGAATTTCTTGCCTTTAAATGAAAACTTAACTTTCTGATTTTTCTCTTTTATGGATGTCATGTTCTTTGGAAGCTTGTTTAGACCGAATTAATGGCCTTTTGGGCTTTCTCCACGTCAAAAATTCACTTTTTGAATAATAAGAATCATCAGTCAGACAGGGATGAGACATCAAGATTTTGGAGATGCTTAGGTGGGCCATGGCCAAGAAAAAAGTTGGGAACCACTGATCCATTTCTTTTATGAACTTCAGGATGGAGACGTCTCAGGAAGAGATATAGAATAGACCGTTATAACGCGTGACACTTTACTACAGTTTACCGGTTGACCAATGTCGTTGCTGCAATTAACATGTTCAGTCACGACTGTTCAATCATGTTGTGCATATAATATATACAAATGCACATAAACTATCTAAAGTAAAGTCATACGTAATACTTGAAAAGTAAAGTAAATTTTTTTCCATTTAGATTCTAGATTATTTACATAGGTTTCTAAATATATATTTTAATTCATGTAGACATCGTGGTTGAAATTAATTTCCTTTACAGCAGATTTATTAACAATTCTCTTTACTTCGTGTTATTTACTCTTTAAAATTCTCATATATGATACTTTATATATGAGTCAATAATAATAACTTAAATGATTGAAATAATTAGGTACGAACATGCATCCAAAATATCCTCAATGTTGACCTAGTCGAAGAACACTGACACAGTTTGACGTACATCCCGCGACAAATTACGCGCAACATACGTGATATTCACGTCCGGTTACTCAGCCGGTTACTCCTTTCTTCATTTCTCTAATCAGTATAAACGAAGAAATTTGTTTGAAAGTATTGACAATGAAGCGAGACGAAAATGCCAAGTTCTACTTCGTAGAATAATTAATCGTATATATAGGTGATCTCATTTGCTTCGATCTCTCTATTTCTATAGAATTTTCATTTTCGCTTACATATATTTTTGCAGTAATATATCATTAAAGTACTGCATTATTACATTAGTAACACTTTACCGACCGATAGTGGTAAATAGTAGCCGATAATTTACCGGCCGGTAAAGTGTTAATATATATATATAAACACAATTATTATATCGTTATACAATTATTATATCGTTAAAAAGTTGGGGAAAAATATTAAAGAGGAAGTAAGCTTCAGGTTACGATGATACACACATATGTATGCATGTAGATGAAAAAGTTGTAATTAACATCATTGTGATTGAAAGTGCGACTCGCGATCGTGGCTGGTTGAAACGTCGACAGTGAAAGTTCAGTGGTTGAAATGTGAATCAACTACACGGTTGTATGGGGCGGGGGGGGGGGACGTTTCACCCAGAAACAGGTATATGCCACAATATAATGTACAACTCGAATCGGAAATGGAAACTTTTTCCACACAATACTGGTAATACTTGGCAGAAATTATAGCGATCATGGTAACTTTCGCTATAATCTCTGCCAATTCTGATCATCTACCTCAGTAATGGAAATTTTACAAATCCCACCGAATTACTTGTGTGAAGGATCTGTTGTTGCTTTTAAAATTCTGTCACAATTTTTATAATGATATTTTCATTATAATTTTAGTTACAATTCAAGCAAGTATTTTTCTATCTCTTCACTTAATTTCTCTCACAATCAGTGTCTTGCTTCGTGCAAAACGAACGCGGGAAAAGCAAGATTCGTGCCTTTCACTGTTGACCTCTAGCACAACATCCGCAAAGAAAGACTTCACTGAAATGCCAGCCACGTCCCTCACGTTCCTGTTCAATAAATCACGATCTAAAGAAAGAAAACGACAATTCGAATAAAAAGCGAATTTTCTAATAGTTGTAATGATATTCTCTTTGTACCAGCAATATCTATGGCAATTGGAGTTTGCATTTATCCTTTGGGTTGGGATTCACCATTAATCCGAGCTGTCTGTGGCGCGGCCGCATCCAGGTATTAATTTGAACGAATGAATGCAGTATTTAAACTGTCTACGTACTTACATCCATGATTGGATCTGTCCAATTATCAATCTTAAAATTTATAAAATTTATATTTTTTCTCAATCTTAAAATTACATAAAATTTATATGTAACTGTATGATTTTCAACATAGAGTAATACTAAATAGAGTAATACTAAAAATGCGTTATAACGTGTTCAAGTATCTACTTAACTACAAAAGAAGATAACAGATTTGCATGACAAATGATTGTCTTCTTATTTATGAAAACATTGATCCATATCGATAATTTCATTTGGTAGATATAATCCAGGAGCTTGCGCCGTTAGATGGGCAATACCGTTAGCAGCGATTGCCGCCTTAGATGCTGCTACCTTGGCTGTGCTTGCTTTCATTCTGGCGGCCAGGCACGTCAGACTTCAACCAGAACCTTTCAACAATGGTTCCTTGTACAAAGGTACAGGTCTTTTCACTTTTTATGCAAATTGAACATCAGTAAAAATGCTTAAAACGGTGAAGATTATGACCATTAACCAATTTGTAAAAGTTAAAGCCTTTGAAAAGTGAAGTCTTCTTTTATACAATTACATATAACATTTCTCTGCGTTTGAATATTTTCTTCAACCAGAATGTTTCAACAACGGTTCCTTGTACAAAGGTACAGGTCTTTTCACTTTTTATGCAAATTGAACATCAGTAAAAATGCTTAAAACGGTGAAGATTATGACCATTAACCAATTTGTAAAAGTTAAAGCCTTTGAAAAGTGAAGTCTTCTTTTATACAATTACATGCAACATTTCTCTGCGTTTGAATATTTTCTTCTCATCTTCTCAATCGATGCTCAATTAAAGTTTTCCAATTTATTTGCAAGGAATATATGTAATTCTCTCACTTCTTTTTTTTTTTTAGGCGAAGTGAACCCGGGGTACGTGAACGAGGCGCAGAGTGTCGCCGGCTCCCGGAAATCTCTGTCCTTACGACCAGTGCTTCTGGTCGCCCCGCCGGAACAGGATCGGTACAGCGAACTCTCTAGAGCAAAGTCACACTCGCATCACAGCCTCTACACGCCAGCACCGACGCACCCGGCCCACACCATGTCGACGAACACGTTGAATCACTCTCAGCACAATTTCCAATTGTAGATCTCTTTCCAATTGAAGATCGTTGACTCTATCGTTATTGTACATATTGTTGTCCATCTACCAAAAGATTCACAAGTATCTTTCCCTTCTTTTCTCTTTTTTATCATTATAATATTATGATAATCCCATAAATTACAAGAAAGCGAGAACAAACACTGTAAATAATATTGTAACTTTCTTCCTTTCCAATCGATTTTACAATCGGATTGGTAGTTGCTATTTTATTGAATCTCGAGAGAGAGAATTAATAACATCACGCTCTATCGGTCGTGACACTTTTGTATTTTGTATATATCGTGACAGAATTTCTCAATGTTGTAAACTCCTTCCCTTTCGCAGTGTATATTCCATGTATGTAATTAATTCTTTTTATACATATACATATATAATATGTTATATATATATAATATATATATATATATATATACCAGCGTGCTCTCTCATTCTTAACGAATAAATGATATGTAATTGTTGAACAGAACATTGTTGTTCTACTTTATCTTAGGTACTTACACAAGAAGTGGTACACTCTCTCTGTCTCCTTTCATTTTATTACAAATAATATTCTAACATAAATTAGTTGTTTTACAGAACAAACGAGAAGAGTCTTACATTAGCGGAATTAAATGAAATATATGAGAATCGTGTTCATCAGGGACATTTTGCAATTATAGCAGGCATTGCATGCCTGTTCTATAAAAATTGTTCTTTAAGAGAGAGAAAATCCAAACGAGGAGGATTCTGTCGTTCGGCTTCGCTTCGGACATCGCTTTTCATGGCTCATTCGCGCAGGTCTAAAGTACAAAGTGTTTTGCCATGTGGTAACTATGACTACGCTTAAAAGGAGACACGAGTAATACGTAAGCTTGTCGCGTAACTTTGTCCCTTTGAAGAGAATAGTCTTCTAGCGAACGAGAGCTTTCTCTATAACGCGCCAGAGATGAACGACAAGGACGACAGCGCTTGGGTCTTCGATTCCCTAATCGGTTTTCTTCAGGGTCCAATTTGGTCCGCGCCTCTGATCACTTTCATCGAAGAGAAGTCGCTCAGTAAGTAGAACCACATATTTGCGCAATACGCCGTTCTATATCGTCTGCGATCTTTATTTCTTCTTCTTTGAGATCGATCCTCCCGTTAAGCTATTCTTTCTTTTCTTTTTTATAGTATTCGAAGCGGACATCGAGGAGAACGACGAGTATGAAAAGGTGTATCAAGAGTATAAAAATCTCGTGGATTTGTTGCTTGGTTGCTTCATGGAAGACATGGTGATTACTCCGGAGCAATTCGAGTACGCTTGTACCGTGAACAAGTACACAAAAATGCCCATACAATTCCAGCAGGCGAGTCAAAGAAACTTTCAGAAAAAACCTTCACTCCCCCCCAAGAAAAAAAATAACGTACAACGTGTATTTACTTTGTGTACCTATTTCAGAACTTGTTCGAGCAAATATGGGCAGCGAACGAGTACGAGATATTCAAGAGAATGATGATTCAGAAGAATCTGGAACTTCAGCTGCAAGCTTTGAATATGATCGAACAGAAGTATGGTCTCACACCTGCATCCCTCATGTATGAAACCGACGTGTTGAACGAAGATCCTTTAGTTATGGAAGAAATCATTCAGTAAGTCTGTAATTAGTAATTAATTGATTATCTTTATCTGTGTATAGCTTTCTCTCTCTCTTTCTCTGTCATTGACTTGGAATTAACTAATAAGAGAAAAAATATGTAGAAAGCACGTACTGGAAAATGACACGGAGGAAGATCAGGAAATATCATCAGAGACTTCGTTGATCAAAGAACATGAACGCTTAACAGCAAAATACAATAGCGAGAGGGCATTATTAGCAGAAGCTCTGATAGCGTCACAAAAGGAACAATCCTCTCCTAGAGAAGAATCATTTTCAAAGGAAAAAGTGTATAAAAAAGAAGAAAAAGAAGAAAAAGAAGATAGAACAGAGGAAAGAGAAATAGAAATAAAAAAAGAGGAAGAGGAGAAGAAGGAAGAGAAAGAAAAAGAAGAAGCAGATATCCCGAGGTTCCCCAAAGCAATTCTTCTTGGTCCTATGTCCACAAACGAGCCAAAATCAATGGAGCAAAACGTATCGGTTAAATTGATCATTTACATATGAACTTACGATTACGAACGAAATCTAATTCGTTCATGAACTAGATGTTCATTAATATTTCAGGTATCAGAGGAAGATGTGAGAAAGAGGCAGGCCTATCTGAAAGCCAGACGCGACAAATTGGTAGCTTTGAAGAAAGAAGCGAGGAGCCAACGGTTGGAGATGAATCTATCGAGGCCGAGTTCCGCAAGATCAGTGGCAGAAGCGACGATCAAAGGTGAACAAGAACTAAAATTACCGGAACCCCTGGAACCGTCTATATTGCAAGTACGCAAAGCACTCGCGGCTCGTCTTCAGGCAGAAGTAGTGCGTAAGCAAACAAGCCAATAATAACGTGAATCAGAAGTGTGAAGCTGTTTCATGATCGTGATAAGATGGTTCTTTCTTTTCCCTTTTTTTTTTTTAAATATAGGAATCTCACTCTTCACAGAGCGAAATTTTATGCAGCTGTATCAATCTTTCTTTTCTTTTCTAAGTGTGTTACGTTTTAGGATAAAGATACTGAAGAAATTTGCAAAGATACAAACGTGTTTATACGCTTTAGAACGTATTAAAATGATCAAATCGAATAACGGTAGAGCATTTTAGAAGACAAGCGAACACGTTTAAAAAGAAGTGGAAAGGGATATAAAGTCGTTTGTTTTTTTTCTTTTTATACAGTTCCAAGCAGTTATCTCTGCCTTTTCTTTTTCTTCTTGAATAAATTTTATCTGCTATTGATCACAATATTTATGTATAAGTGTATTTCCGCTTGTGAATACCGATAAAATGATAACTAGTTTGTAAGGTCACTTGCATTATGTTCTCTCGGTCATACACATGATCACAATACGTCATCAGCAACTAGTCTTATCCTTGAGATCTCATAATCTGGACTGTGAAGAAAAGTAAAGGGAAAAGCATGTTTTATAATAGCAATTTGTGTGAATCTTTAAGAGGTGATACGAGTGATATCAATAAAAAAAAAGAAAAGAAATAGAAGTACTTCATAAACAAGATTTTTATCTTTAAATCTTTCAAATGAAATTGCTATTTTCTTGATCGACCTTGAAAGAGAAGAGAATGCGAAGCTAACGTTGGCAGACAGCCTTTGAAAGATGTATTTAAAAAAAAAATAACGCTAAAAGATCCATTTTACATGTAATTATGTAACAGCACAAATTGTATAAATCACAATTAGATAATTAAAGCTGAAAAGTCAATGACAATTATATTCAATATACAAAAAACTGTCCCCCCCTCCTTTCTCTTCTTTTTTTTCCGTTTGCGTTAATTAAACACTGAGGTAAGTTACGACTCCGTTCCATTGATCAATTCTTTCTAATTTAAAATTTTATTTAATTAAATATTCTGCACACTTCTACAACATACTTCTATTTCATGTATACACACAATTGCCATTCTCGCTTCTCTTCTTTTTTCGGCCCTCCGATTATTAAGATCAAAATAACTTCGTGGCGAAATACGAGTTAAACTGCTTGATCAATTATCTGTGTATGTGTATGTATGCATGTGTGTAAGGACATAAAGCCTCTGAACATTTTTGAAGCAGATTCACAATTAATTTCATTCTGACAGGAAACAAAGGATACTTACAAAAGGATAACAAAAAATTTGTCGCTCATATTTTCCTGCTACTTTTCTGTAAACGTAGTATTTATTAAAATGTAATTTGCGTAACGTCTAAGTTAATTAGAAAACATTGATTAGAAATCATCCTCGGCGTTCGCCTTCCGCCACGAATCAGATATTTAGTCCGCGTTTCGTTCAACTCGTCTGGTCAATCGTCTTTCACACTTCACTAGAATAAAATGCAAAATATTCATTTCTTTCCACTGGCTCTCCATTCAACTGTTACCAAACTACACACAAACCAGAAGTTTTCTTCGCTAATTCTTGACTTTAAGTTTGTTCCTATTTCGCATGTTCTCTTTTTTTTTTGTTCAATTTTTTATGAATAGCTTCTCATATAAAAAGGTGTTTTTTTCCTCTGAGTGTATGTGTGTGTGTGTAATTAAAACGTATTCTATTATTAACACGTGGTATTGTACAATGTGTGCAATTATCTTTTCCATCATTGTTTTTATACCATGTAACATCATGATATTACGTTGAACTATAATAACTGTAAGATTTTGTGACTTTCGGTGGCACTGATGTTACATAAAATGTTTCACTGACTCTTTCTCCACCTCTTCAAATTAGAATGAAAAGTATTTAGTATTTTTAACAGTCGCATTCAACGAGTCTCGTGTGAATATGTATACATAACACACGTACGTTGTAAAGATCGACATTCACGTTTCTCCTGACCGAGAGAAACTTCAGGTCAAATTTTAAACCATTTTATTCGAGGAAATTAACTCATACATGGTGAACGACATAATGAAATAAAAAAGAGACAAGAAAATAATCAATCTTTTTTTTTCGAATCTTTGAATATTCGAGTAATGCGTTCCTTTAAAAAAACATAATGTAAGCTGAAAGCTTGTATTGGACGATTTTATTCTTTTGGCTACATTTGAAACACCGATGACGGGATACAATGAATATTAAATAAGAAAGAAAGCGGTAATAATGAAAACAAGACGCATTAGTAATGAATAAATCTGAAATTCTCCATGTAAAAGAATATATGTACATATAAATATCTGTACGGGTATGAAATTTAGCTTAAATAGCACTTGCGACCACGCTATTTATTCTAGTATCACTTGGATATCAAATCATTTTTTTATTCTTCTTTTCTCAGAGTTCGTCCCCTTACAGTTTCTTTCAAAGCACATTCAATGCACATTTTTTATCATTTCTTTTTATCTCTTTTGTAATTATCAAATAAGTCATGAGTGTTATGTAGAACACATAAAGAATAACATTACTCGATATCCTTTTAATTAATTGTTAGCTTTTGTTACGTTTCTCTCTCTCTCTCTTTCATTCGCATGCTCTCTCTCTCTCTCTCTTTCTCTCTTCGTGGTCAATCCAGGGTACACTTTTCTCCTTTTTCTTATGTACAACATGTATATCACTCACCTCCAGCGAATTTGCTATTCACGACTTTGATATTCACAAATTTCTTTTCGCTCGTGTCTCTAAATTAACTTCTAGAATTTCTCATCTTCTTTCAATATCATATAAGTTAATATATATGCATATATGTTCGTAGATGGTACGTGTATGTGTGATATTTACGAAAAATGTCCAATATACACATATAGGTCTAAAGCAGTCTTAAAAACTCTGTTCAAGGTATGTGGGAGAGGAGGGGGACGACGACGTGAAAAATTTATACATTATAGCTTATAATATTTCTGCTCCTTTTTCTTCTTTTTTTTTTTTGTTTGTTTGTTTGAGTTAACTTAATCAAGATATGGAGGCACATGTTTCTGAAATGATATTAAACGTTTAAAAAAACAGGATAAAAAATGAAAGAAAAAAGAAAAAAAAAACGAAACAACATTCTTAGGAAACTCATGTCAACGTAAATTAAAAAACAAAACGAAAGACTCTTATAATACCAGCTTTCTCGGTTGTGTATCAGTAGTTCAATAATTAAATAGACTCCCTTGCCTGGGAGCTGATGTATATATCAATTAGCTTCCGTTTTTTAATATCACGTCGACTTTGACGTCTGCCAGTCACTGACAAATACTTGTCCTTTAAAATTCCAATATTTCATTATTGCATTTCTTTTTCTTTATTATCAATTGCGAAAGAAAGGAAATGTCCATGTTGGAAATAATTTAGACGATCATATAAAATGTTATACATAATAAAACCTTGCAAGGATAAATTTGCAGAGGATCTTTTATCTTTCCTTTACAAAGTACAATAATCAATATCAAGCTTCTATCCTTACCCACATTAGTTACGAATAATTTATACGAATAGAATAATAGTTTATATTTAATGCTTGAGATTGCAAAACACTTTCACATATATTTTCGTTTTACATCGAGGAGTGAACTGCGGACATGAAGTGCAAACTGGTAAATATACACAAATCAAATATGTTTATTGTACAATTTCTACTACTTACATTGACAACCGAAAAGCTCGTTCAAAGAACCTTAATTAAGAACTGAATTTGTAAAGGAATCGCATTTTCTCTGCTTTACCCACGAATGGTTGTTTTACAATCGTTACAAATATACATATATATACAAACTAAATACTATTTCCGTTAATTTGGATAAAGTTTCATGATGTCTGACCCCCTTTAAGGACAGGTCTTAATTGCCCATCACACGAATAAGAAAATTTATGGATGGCAAAACAAAACACTCAGTTGTTTTTTGTGCGGTACATCATGTACTTTTACATGTGATTTTTTTTTTGCTTTTTTTTACATAATAAGTTTCTTTTTAATAGATATAAATATGACGTACAGTCACAATTTCAATTATTACATGAATCTAAGCACACGCTTAGAAACTCTGTATTTGTAAGAACCACTAGGCCTGGCTAGAGTTTCTTAGCCTATTCGTGAAATAATTTTTTCTAGTATGTGGGGTGTTTCCAGACAATGTGGAATGGACTATTTCTTGTTAAAATCTTATTACTTTTAACACTTATGTGGTCATACAATATTATGCCACAATTTTATCATCATATGTCTTATTTAAAGAAAGTTCTCTCTTTCTTTGTATCGCATTGGTTCATCATCCTTTTTCTTTTTTTTCCCCCTTTTAATCCTAATTGTATATATTCCATTTCTTAGACCCTTTCACCGATCTGCGTTTAATACCGATGTTCTTGTATATTTATACACAACCCAGCACAAAGAGGTACGTCAATTTTCACCACGTTGTGAACATATGTCCTTGTTACGTCCACTCACTTAAAGAAAGTAAATCCTTTATCTGCTACAAAAAGGTTGACAGTGACATGATCCTTTAACCAAATTCTTTGTGCACGTAGGAGGGCCAGAAATGGTATAGCAGCAATTAAAAATCACAAATCCCTCGGTTTCGTTCCAGTTTGCCTACTATGACAATCTTTGACGTTTTGGAGAAGGTGTTACTTCTGTATCCTCCTCGTCTTCGTCTGAATCTCCTTCATAATCAACTAAGCCCTAAAAACGTACGTTTAATTAACGATGCAAAATTCTGCCGTTTTTTTTTTTTTTTTTTTTTTTTTTTTTTTTTTTTTTTTTTTTTTTT